CATCGCCAATTTCGTTTTGTCGTTCATATTGGTACTAGAGCGTCTATACTTACAAGTCTTATGTGGGGCGGTCCCGGGACATTGGTGGTACATGATTGGAAAGCGATAGCAACTGATAAGGGCTGATAAGATGCGCTAGAACGCAAAAGTCGTCGATTCCGTTGCCTGGCTCGCGTTGACACCAGAGCAACCATACTTACAAGTGTTATGTGGGGTGGGACGGGGACATTGTTGGTGGGTGCCAGAAACTGATAACGATTGATAAGGGCCGATAAGGCGCGCCAGAACGCTGAAGTCGTCGATTCCGTTGCCTGGCTCGCGTTGACACCAGAGCAACCATACTTACAAGTGTTATGTGGGGTGGGGACGGGGACATTGTTGGTGGGTGCCAGAAACTGATAACGATTGATAAGGGCCGATAAGGCGCGCCAGAACGCTGAAGTCGTCGATTCCGTTGCCTGGCTCGCGTTGACACCAGAGCAACCATACTTACAAGTGTTATGTGGGGTGGGACGGGGACATTGTTGGTGGGTGCCAGAAACTGATAACGATTGATAAGGGCCGATAAGGCGCGCCAGAACGCTGAAGTCGTCGATTCCGTTGCCTGGCTCGCGTTGACACCAGAGCAACCATACTTACAAGTGTTATGTGGGGTGGGACGGGGACATTGTTGGTGGGTGCCAGAAACTGATAACGATTGATAAGGGCCGATAAGGCGCGCCAGAACGCTGAAGTCGTCGATTCCGTTGCCTGGCTCGCGTTGACACCAGAGCAACCATACTTACAAGTGTTATGTGGGGTGGGACGGGGACATTGTTGGTGGGTGCCAGAAACTGATAACGATTGATAAGGGCCGATAAGGCGCGCCAGAACGCTGAAGTCGTCGATTCCGTTGCCTGGCTCGCGTTGACACCAGAGCAACCATACTTACAAGTGTTATGTGGGGTGGGACGGGGACATTGTTGGTGGGTGCCAGAAACTGATAACGATTGATAAGGGCCGATAAGGCGCGCCAGAACGCTGAAGTCGTCGATTCCGTTGCCTGGCTCGCGTTGACACCAGAGCAACCATACTTACAAGTGTTATGTGGGGTGGGACGGGGACATTGTTGGTGGGTGCCAGAAACTGATAACGATTGATAAGGGCCGATAAGGCGCGCCAGAACGCTGAAGTCGTCGATTCCGTTGCCTGGCTCGCGTTGACACCAGAGCAACCATACTTACAAGTGTTATGTGGGGTGGGACGGGGACATGTTGGTGGGTGCCAGAAACTGATAACGATTGATAAGGGCCGATAAGGCGCGCCAGAACGCTGAAGTCGTCGATTCCGTTGCCTGGCTCGCGTTGACACCAGAGCAACCATACTTACAAGTGTTATGTGGGGTGGGACGGGGACATTGTTGGTGGGTGCCAGAAACTGATAACGATTGATAAGGGCCGATAAGGCGCGCCAGAACGCTGAAGTCGTCGATTCCGTTGCCTGGCTCGCGTTGACACCAGAGCAACCATACTTACAAGTGTTATGTGGGGTGGGACGGGGACATTGTTGGTGGGTGCCAGAAACTGATAACGATTGATAAGGGCCGATAAGGCGCGCCAGAACGCTGAAGTCGTCGATTCCGTTGCCTGGCTCGCGTTGACACCAGAGCAACCATACTTACAAGTGTTATGTGGGGTGAGGACGGGAGACATTGGCTCTTGTTTGGTGGTCGGGCGGTGCAAAAATGATAACGATATGATAAGGGCGATAAGAGCGCGCCAGACGCTTGGAAGTCGGGATGTCCGTTGCCTGGCTCGCGTTGACACCAGAGCAACCATACTTACAAGGTGTTATGTGGGGTGGGACGGGGACATTGTTGGTGGGTGCCAGAAACTGATAACGATTGATAAGGGCCGATAAGGCGCGCCAGAACGCTGAAGTCGTCGATTCCGTTGCCTGGCTCGCGTTGACACCAGAGCAACCATACTTACAAGTGTTATGTGGGGTGGGACGGGGACATTGTTGGTGGGTGCCAGAAACTGATAACGATTGATAAGGGCCGATAAGGCGCGCCAGAACGCTGAAGTCGTCGATTCCGTTGCCTGGCTCGCGTTGACACCAGAGCAACCATACTTACAAGTGTTATGTGGGGTGGGACGGGGACATTGTTGGTGGGTGCCAGAAACTGATAACGATTGATAAGGGCCGATAAGGCGCGCCAGAACGCTGAAGTCGTCGATTCCGTTGCCTGGCTCGCGTTGACACCAGAGCAACCATACTTACAAGTGTTATGTGGGGTGGGACGGGGACATTGTTGGTGGGTGCCAGAAACTGATAACGATTGATAAGGGCCGATAAGGCGCGCCAGAACGCTGAAGTCGTCGATTCCGTTGCCTGGCTCGCGTTGACACCAGAGCAACCATACTTACAAGTGTTATGTGGGGTGGGACGGGGACATTGTTGGTGGGTGCCAGAAACTGATAACGATTGATAAGGGCCGATAAGGCGCGCCAGAACGCTGAAGTCGTCGATTCCGTTGCCTGGCTCGCGTTGACACCAGAGCAACCATACTTTACAAGTGTTATGTGGGGTGGGACGGGGACATTGTTGGTGGGTGCCAGAAACTGATAACGATTGATAAGGGCCGATAAGGCGCGCCAGAACGCTGAAGTCGTCGATTCCGTTGCCTGGCTCGCGTTGACACCAGAGCAACCATACTTACAAGTGTTATGTGGGGTGGGACGGGGACATTGTTGGTGGGTGCCAGAAACTGATAACGATTGATAAGGGCCGATAAGGCGCGCCAGAACGCTGAAGTCGTCGATTCCGTTGCCTGGCTCGCGTTGACACCAGAGCAACCATACTTACAAGTGTTATGTGGGGTGGGACGGGGACATTGTTGGGTGGGTGCCAGAAACTGATAACGATTGATAGCGGCCGATAAGGCGCACCAGAACGCTGAAGTCGTCGATTCGTTGCCTGGCTCGCGTTGACACCAGAGCAATCCATATTTACAAGTTATTAGTGGGGTGGGACGGGGACATTGTTGGTGGGTGCCAGAAACTGATAACGATTGATAAGGGCCGATAAGGCGCGCCAGAACGCTGAAGTCGTCGATTCCGTTGCCTGGCTCGCGTTGACACCAGAGCAACCATACTTACAAGTGTTATGTGGGGTGGGACGGGGACATTGTTGGTGGGTGCCAGAAACTGATAACGATTGATAAGGGCCGATAAGGCGCGCCAGAACGCTGAAGTCGTCGATTCCGTTGCCTGGCTCGCGTTGACACCAGAGCAACCATACTTACAAGTGTTATGTGGGGTGGGACGGGGACATTGTTGGTGGGTGCCAGAAACTGATAACGATTGATAAGGGCCGATAAGGCGCGCCAGAACGCTGAAGTCGTCGATTCCGTTGCCTGGCTCGCGTTGACACCAGAGCAACCATACTTACAAGTGTTATGTGGGGTGGGACGGGGACATTGTTGGTGGGTGCCAGAAACTGATAACGATTGATAAGGGCCGATAAGGCGCGCCAGAACGCTGAAGTCGTCGATTCCGTTGCCTGGCTCGCGTTGACACCAGAGCAACAATATACTTGAAGTAGGTTATAGTGGAGGATGGGACGGGCGAATTGTTTGAACCCCGCGTGGCGTAGGCAGAACACTGATAACGATTGGATAAGGAGCCGATGAACGGCGCGCCGAGCGCCTGGAGGTCGTCGATTCCGTTGCCTGGCTCGCGTTGACACCAGAGCAACCATACTTACAAGTGTTATGTGGGGTGGGACGGGGACATTGTTGGTGGGTGCCAGAAACTGATAACGATTGATAAGGGCCGATAAGGCGCGCCAGAACGCTGAAGTCGTCGATTCCGTTGCCTGGCTCGCGTTGACACCAGAGCAACCATACTTACAAGTGTTATGTGGGGTGGGACGGGGACATTGTTGGTGGGTGCCAGAAACTGATAACGATTGATAAGGGCCGATAAGGCGCGCCAGAACGCTGAAGTCGTCGATTCCGTTACGCAGCGTTGACACTAGAGCGTTCCTACTTACAAATTGTAGTAAGTCGTAGTAGTAAAAACAAAGGTACGTGCACATCATTTTGATATATATCAGCTTTTTAATAGCAGTCGATTGCATAAATTTCAAGTCTAAGTTTCATTTCTATCAAGAAAGCCCAAACTCATTAAACCGCTAATCCTTTCAGGGTTCTAAAATAATGGTAAAAGTAAATAAATGATAAGCCTTAGCTCCTCACTTATGTAAATAGGCATATTTCGTTTTAATTCTGAGATTGACAGTAATCCTATTCACCGCTAAATTATCTTAATTCAAGAAAAATGCTGGATGTTTACAGAGTTGTGATCAATATACCAGTTCAGCTCAGACGTTATCACGCGTATTCTCGATGAGCTTCAGTGAAACTGTGGAGGGTCTAACACAGTCAATAGTGAGATGGTTAATGGAGTATCTCATGCTGATATTCCATGGGTCCTCCAATTTCGCTAAAGCCTGCCGTGTGATGCGCGCGATAGCGGGCGAAGCAAAACTGGTATTTATACTAACTGCAGTAGTCTGTAACTGAGTGACTCGACGCTTATGAATTTGGGACCACACACACACACACACAACACACACACAACACAACACACACAGACGACACACAACACACACATACACACACACACACACATACACACACACAAACACATACACACACCACACACACTGTGGATAACTTCTATCAAAACGGCAGTCATTTCACTGGCTCCGTCTTAGAATAAGCCTCTATACGAACCATTTCCATGGAGAGACTATTTTGAGCCGAAATTCGTTCATGTACATAAAATGCTGATTTACGCCATCCCTTTTGATGTTTATGTCACATCAACAACAACATATTCCTTTATTACAAAAATCACAAACAAACAAACTCATAGGGGGTTTGTGAGAGGAATATGCATTCGAGGGGCGCCGATCCATCGTGCGAAAGAGATGTAGTCACAGGCGTTCATGGATCACTCCACTGAAATCCAAAAAAGTATTTCTTATCTGCAAGAAGCGCAGTCACAAGGAAATCCTCCCTACCTCCCCGGTAAGGGAATTTTTCGGGTTCCTTTGGTCCCTTCGGTCCCTTCCTCTCTTTCCATATGCTAAAATTTAAAAAATAGTTTTTTCTTGAAAGAAGCAGCCACAGAGAAATCCTACCTGCTATCATAGATCGGCCCTGAATCCTCAGTGTTCACTTTATGTAGACTATCTAAACAACTAGGAGTGCAGTCGTGGTACATGCCATGTGTGCCTTCTGAAGACCGTAACAGCTAGCTTAAGCAACCTACCAGGAGGGTTCCTCCTGAATCGTGGAGCCGAGCGCCAGATCGCACACTCGCTTGCCAAAATCCAAACCGAAAGCAGCAGTACGAAGAAAATCTTCATTCTTGCGGAATGGTACTCACTCATCTTTTCGTTTAAATAGTCAGGAAATGGTGATAAGATCACAAAACAAGCTGCCCGATGTGTTTTTTCGTGTAATCCCGTGTTTTGGCCTTCTTGCGACTAGATAGCGTCAGACACGAGATAAGGTGGTTTTATCAAAGTTACGTGGAAGATCAGATTCTTCCAGATAAGATCTATGCCGTTTCCCCGACCCTTTGTCAATAAAAAAAATCAGTGATGACAACAGACCGAAGGCTTTGCCATACTGCACGGGCTTCACCCTTACCAAAAAGCTCACTCCACTTTCATTTGAAACAAATGAAAGCTATAGAATGGCGCTCACTCCTGGCAGCAAATGAGGCAAGAATGGCAGAATATGGTTTAAGGCAGCTAATTAAAGAAAGATTCTAGACAGCTTCAAGGCAGGGTCAACCGTTACGTTGGACCGATATTGGAGCGACGTTGGACCGATGTTGACCGCTCTCCGCGCCGGCATTCACTCTCGCCACCCGCGAGCCGTCTGTGTCTCCGTGCGTACGTTCACTCTCGGCATTACTCTCGTCGTCGCGTTGGACTTTGTCCAACGGACGGTTGACCCTGTTCAGAGGAACTAATGGTGGCGAAAAAAGCAGAGAAATCCGTCAAGAAAACCCAAAATGGAACCCTTTTTGGGCCGTTGGCCTCCACTCATGAAGAGGTAACGGCTCAAAAATAACCGCAAGGCGTTTCATGGCACCGTGCCAAGCCAAGCTCCAATCATGTTGCTACAGCTGTGCAGCTGCTGGCAACGCTACTCGTCCTCGCCCGAGCACGTGGCGCAGATCGCCCTTGGGGAGGAAAAGCGTCTTCAAGTGCTGCTCAAACAACCAGCACGCCAACAGCGAACAGCAGCCACCTTTTCTTGAACAGACTTAATATACCACGGTTCCATTATACCCGATGCTCATCCCCTTTTTATCGTACCCGCTTCCTCATCCGCAGGCGTCCAACTCTAAGCAGCACGTAGCCTCTCTCCCACATCACTCATACATGAGAATCGCAACGGCAAACCCCGCGAGCACGGCACACGGGGGCAAAGGACCTACCGAAAGGCACAGCATGCCGGAAAAACTTATTCAATTTAGGCGTAGGTCCGCTATCGAATCCTGAAGGTTCGCTGTTCTGATGGAGCGCAGGCATAGGGGATAAAAAAGGAAAGCATTTGCCGTTGATCAATCCCTCTTTGGGATGCGGCACGCATTCTACTTCCATTTGTACATTCGTAGTGGCGTTTGAATGCGATGTGGCCTATACAATGACTTGCGGGGGCCAGCCGATGTAAGTCAGTGTTTTTATCCTCCCAGACAAGTCTGGTACCAATTAACCGACCCCGGAGGGATGGAAGGCTTGGTTGGCCCGGGCGACTCACGACCCAGGATTTGATCCCCGGACCGCGGGCGAATGCATGGAAGGGAGGAATCTGGTCACAGCAACAGTCCACGAGGTCAGGCACGTTCTTGGCAAAAAGAGAGAGCCAGAGGGTAAGTTACAGTGTTGATGGGAGGCCACCGAGATCAACCATGTATTCGTAAGAATATCATCATATAAAGCTGCTAAGGACATCAAAGTACGCACTGGCGAAGAACTAGCTCTGTGCGCAGGCTCGTCCCTGTAGACATGGCGTAGATATCCCGAAGAAGCAAGAGTGAAAAACGAGAGTGAAGCCGGTGGTGGAGTGCACCGAGCCTAGAAGGCAGGGTGAATAACGGTCGAGGATTTCCTCGACCATGCTCTCTACCGTGCGAGAGTAGTGTCGAGAGTGAATGAATGCGCGGAGAGCACAGACGGCTCGCGCTGGCGAGAGTGAGCATCCGCGTGGGAGAGCGTGAAAGAATCCTCGACGAGCCGTTGTCTTTTCCTCAAGCGATTTTCACCCTGCTAGAAGGACTGCCACATATGTACAACAACAGCTAGAAACTGATGTTCCAGACCCACACGAACCAGACGTAAGAGCATCAACCGAACAAAAGTGAAATGCTGTGAAGGTTAACACATTGACGACAACGCGGGGATATATATCCCGCGCATTGCAGGCCATGTCGGACCGTGCGGGATATATATCCCCCGCACCCATTACACTCATTTTTTTCGCGCACGCCTGATTCTTTTAGAAGTTTCTTGTATTCATTCCATGGAAGAGACCTTGACGTAGCTACAAACATAGTGGCCATAAAATGGTCACGTATACTTTAAAGCGAAAGATTACGATAGGATTGTGTTGTGTTCATAGTGAAGTGGAGATGCTGAATAATGCTCTAGTAAAGAAAACGGGACCACTTTCCTTTGCCCGTTGATCTCCGATAATGGACGAGTTGGCAACCAACTAAGAGGTCGTCGGCACTCGTTAAACCATAGCTGCCATCATACCACCAGAGATCATACCTTGATTGATATAGCATTCCATGAGAAAAAAATTGGATACGCGCTCGAAGTGGCATACCTTATCAGAATGATAATCGAACAGCGATCTGCTGAGGGGCGGAGCACAGGCCTGTGGCGAGCTCACTTACCAGGAAGGTCTTTCAGGGCGTGACAAGCTTTTTGAAAACGGTCTTTTGCATGATATAGGGGCAGATGCGGGAACCACAGAACCATGTTCAATTTTTCCTGAACGGCCCTCTGAATACCAGAAAAGGAGGTCCCTAGTTCGATTCCTCGTGGTAACAAATTTTTGCATTTCGAGTTGACGTGCCAAAATTCGCGCAAAATGGAGTTAGAACCAACCAGAACAATCAGAACTCCATTTTGCGCGAATTTTGGAACGTCAACTCGAAATGCAAAAATTTGTCACCAAGAGGAATCGAACTAGGGACCCCCTTTTCTGGTATTCAGAGGGCCGTTCAGGAAAAATGAAACATTCTGTGGTCCCCGCATGTGCCCCTATATCATGCAAAAGACCGTTTTGTGGGCTGCTAGAGGTGATAGAGAAAAGTGGTTGCGTTCAGAGAGTGAACTGTGGTGCTCGGCTATTCTCAGGCAGGGTCAACCGTCCGTTGCACAAAGTCCAACGAGTTTTGTCGTATTCGGCTGACGAAAAGGGGGTAGTACTCCCAAGGTCGGAGGCAACGTCACTCCTTCACCAACGGGGGATCGTAATGTGACCAGAGTCAACCCTGCGTTGCGCAGTTCTCAACGGCCACGTTGCGCAGTTTCGCCCGATTAGACACGTTCTCTCGCGCGAACATTCACACTCGCATGCTCGAGCCGTCTGCGTCTCCGCCCATACAGCGTGCGTTGAGGATCTCTCAACGTGCCGTTGCGAACTGCGCAACGCAGGGTTGACTCTGCAGGGTGAAAATCGTGTCGAGTACGTGGTCGCAGAGGTACGACCCCCCCCCCGAAATCGAGATCCTGGCACGACCCCCTCTAACAGAGCAAATTAATTCAATTAAAAAAATAAATCCTGCAAAACAAATCAAAAAAAATCTGCAAAATAATGTTAAGGACGCCTCATCTTGTCATCTATGCACGTCTTTCATCGCTGCACACTTTTGTGTATTTACTGAAATATCGACTCGAGGAAAGAGGCATTAACTTTGTGTGACCTCAAAGTCAGGTTCGTTCAGAAACGCACAGAAATCCTGAAGGCACGGGGTTGCGATTCAATCTTGATTCTTGCTTGAGTATATCGAAACAGCCGAGTGTATCAATCAACGGCCGATTCAACGGCAGCTGCGGCGCGATTGTCACTGGGTCAGATTTGCTGAAATCCCGAAAAAAAAACCGTCGAAATCTACACCCTCGATGAAAAGGTTGCATTCCTCCATTTCATAACCTTTGAAGCAGTTTGAGGTAGGGTTAGATAGAGCTGGATTTCGCGTTTCCAAGAAGTATTGAAATTGCTCTGAAAGCCTTCCATGCAGAAAGATAGGGTCTCTCAAATTTCGTCGAGTAAACGTCGAGGACGCTGAAATTTTCACGCGAGTTTTTGCCACTTCAAGAGCAATATCTCTCTTAATGTCGTAAGATCCTGAAAAAGGGAAGATAGTTTTGGAAAGCGGAAGGTTTGCGCTTTCTGATGGTCTTCTTAGCTTTCTTCTACATTTCCTAGTTGAGAAGATATCTGCGTCGAGTATGTATCGAGGACCATATATATCGAAACAGCCGAGTGTATCAATCAACGGCCGATTCAACGGCAGCTGCGGCGCGATTGTCACTGGGTCAGATTTGCTGAAATTTCCGAAAAAAAAACCGTCGAAATCTACACCCTCGATGAAAAGGTTGCATTCCTCCATTTCATAACCTTTGATAGCACTTGAGGAGGATTTTACGATTAGAATGGAGGTGAAAGCTTCCACATACATTGTTTTCAATGTACAATTCATGAGAAACCTTTGATATGACACTGGTCAACGCTGTGTGCGATGTACGTCACAACAAAGCGGTTAGAACGGCAGTTCCTTGAGAATTTTTTCTTCGCTCCTTTTTTGGTATTCAGAGACCTAACACGCCTTGATAAGGCGTCCCTGCCTCTGAAATATCAACTTTTGGCTTATTAGGTAGGTCCTATCCGATAAACATTGTAAGTTTCCCATTCGTCCCTATAGGCATTATCGCGACCACTGCCTTCAAAGGCAGAATTTGAGATGAAAATTTAGTTAATTGGAAATAGGTTGAAAGTGGTCAATTGAGGAAGGATGAGCCTGAGAAATAGGACCCATTCCTCGCTCGTTGATTTGCGCATTGATGCGACTCTCATCGCTGTGCCCTCTTCAACACTACGCTCTCTCTGCTATCTAATCACTCGCCACGTATAGACCTGCGGCGAGTGATTAGATAGTCGGTGGGCGTACCCCGCCAACCGCGCCAAGAGTGAGCCATGCTAGATCGCCGAGGTCAAATCTTTCGCTGCCAATTGCGCGTCGGTCAGCACCCTCAGGAGGTCCGCCTGTCTCCCAACTATGCAATTTCCCTTTCTTTGACCTTCGTTCTTATCGTGAACTCCTTCTTTAATCGTAATTTTCTAATTAGGATTGTTGTGTGAGAAGCCTGATGTTGATCTTAGGCGCTGAAAGCTCACCAAGAAGCCTCAACTTTTGTAGAGATTTCTGCAGTCATACACTGTTGCGATTTCTTTTGTTAGAGCTTTAGAGTCTGCAATGAATAATGGAAATCTCAAATTAACACGTCATTCATATCTTTATTATTCTATTTTCGAATAAGTATGAGATAATGTGTCGCTTGTTGAAAAAGCTTTGACCAAGGCTGCATGTATGCTTCCTCTCATGGCCTTCAGTATCCGAACTCCTAGTGATTATTTGTTGTTTTGGTTAGTCTCGTGAAGTTTGGAGACGACTTGAGTTCTTCAAATGAAACATGTGGCTGAGCTTTCGAGTAGTGAACCTCGAACTGTGGTTACCTTGAAGGCTTGTGACACGAAGAGTTGGTCGACGAGACGACGGATATCAAAGTTTAAGAGGTTGCAATGAGGAAGGAAAAAGGGAAACAGCTTGAAACCTGTAAAGTGAGGCCTCTACTTTCCGCGCTGATTTCCTCTTCAGGTGAGTACATCAGTGCTGCTGAAGTCCAAACGTAAACCCTATGTGCTGCCAGTCTCCTAAACGCCTAGTGTGAAGGCGAATACAAAGGGACAAGGAGTCAAAAGGCATGTGGAAGCTTTTGCCAGACCGCTGGGTTTCACTCCCAAATGCTCCACATTTTGCTTTCTGAATGGCACAGAAATTTTTTGGTTCACTGGCCCTTCTCCAGCACCTAATTTATTGCACCACCTGCATTTAGGTTTATCATTACGAGATTAAAAAAATTCTCTGGAAACAAGATATTTAACAGCTCGCGTCAACATCGTTAAAAGTTCATCGCTCTGAATTTTGGAGGACCTTCTAGCTGGAGACTGCCCGATGACATCGTAGCCGCATTCGCGTATTCGGTGACAGAAGGCCTTTGACTCTGAAAATGCGCGTATAAAAAGAGTAAAACGATAATAAACCTGATCCTTGCGTCACTCAGGAGGGCGCTCCGATCTTCTTCACGCGCACACAAATGCCGATGGCGATTCCGGTAACGGTTACGCCGGCTCCCCTTATCCGCTTGTGTGCTTGCTAACGCAGTTCAACCGAAACACTCGAGAGGAGAGCGTAGCGTAAAACTGTCGGATAAACCTAACCCCTGAAAAATATGATACGATAATGAATTAGAAAATGGCCGATTGGAATAAAGGTGCTCTTCAGAATGACAATCGGACATAGTGATAACGGTAACGTATCATGATACTGCCACTGCAATCCCTTCCACTCCGATACATGAGTGATGATGAGGTGTGATTCCCACAAGACGGATAAGGGAGGCCGCGAATAACCGTTACCGTAATCCGCGGCCGCGCCCTTTAAACGACGCCAGGCTCACTCGTTCATTCTTGTTCACCCGCTTTGTACTTCGTTATTTTGTACAACGTTGATTCGTTTTCTTCTTTTCGCTCTTAGTTTTTGGCTTTTTCCCTTCTTACAACGCTGCCATTTTAGATCGGTGGTGTTTAATTTGATTTTCGATGTCAGCTCTATAGAATTCGGTGCCGCTCATGCTTTCAGAGTAAGTTCTTCCCGTTGTCAACTTTCTTGTTTTTATTCAAGTTTAACTTCAGATTGTGCTTTCGTTTGATGCCGGTGCTCTGAATGTGATATTTCTTCAATACGTCAATGCAGTAGTACACGCATCGTAAAGTAAGTTTCTATTTTTGCAAAGTTTTTTTTTTCGTGTTCAATCAGGGTTTGCCTTCAGATTGCGCTCTTATCTGGCATAGGATTCTTATTTGATTGTTGTGTGTTGATTGTATCTTGTCTTGCTTATAAAGTAAGTTTCTAGTTATTGTCACAATTTTTCGTGTTCGATTAAGGTTTATCTTTAGGCTACGTCCTCATTCGGAAGCGGTGCCTTGATTTTGGTTTCTATTATTTTAATTCAATATTGCCTGCGCTGCTCTATTTGTGAGGTAAGTTTTTATTCTCGTCATGCATATTACGACTTCTTACGTTCTTTGGATTTTTGGGGAAGTGTCTTCATTTGGTTAGTCGCACTATTCAACTATTACAACCCCAAAATCTCAAAATTTTATTTTTCGTCGAAACTTTGCCTATAGGGGTAATTCGGTGCCCTGATTACGAAAATGACATTCATTTTTGGCGGTGGCGCCATCTGGCGCCACCTTGTCACGACCTGTTTCACCAAATCCGGTGTATTTTCTGTATAGTATCATTTGGTGCTCTGATCATGAATATAACATTTGTTCTCGCCTCAGTCCATTTAGCTCCATTTTGTCTCACTTATGAGATCGCGATGAGGACTAAGCCTTAGGGTAACGTGAATAAGTCACTTAACTAGTATTCTCGCACGTTTTATGGTTTCATGTTTTGTCACACAGTGCTAATTTAACGACCGCAGAGTCTCTCTACTCTCTGAGCTTAGTACACCCCAGAATCCCCTACCTCCTCACTTAGTCCTGGGCACTACGTGCGTGGAAGGGTGGACCTATGAGTTGAACAGCGCAAATGTCAAAAACGAATGTCATATTCGTAATCAGGACATCAAATAACCCCTATACAGAAGTTTACACCGAATTTGGTGAAAACATGTGTCGTGACAAGGTGGCGCCAACTGGCGCCAGATGGCGCCACCGCCAAAAATGAATGTCATTTTCGTAATCAGGGCACCGAATTACCCCTATGAGCAAAGTTTCGACGAAAAATAAAATTTTGAGATTTTGGGGATTGTAAAGTTGAATAGTGCCGATTACTTTGTCGTATTTCTCCCATTGTTTCCCTTTTCATTCTTTTTATTTCTACATTTGAATAATGATCCTTGGATACTCCAAGGATTGGTAGGTTAGTAGATAAAGTTATAGCAACTTGAAATGGTAGAATATTCGATCAAAAGAGATACTAGATTATAATAATCGGATATTGGGTTGCGTCTACGTCCATGATATGCGATATTTATCTGATCCCGTCAGCAGATATTTTATTCTACAGCTGGCAATATCTCTCTATCTCCTTGGTTGCCAATTTCGGGTCACTTATTCACTTGAGTTCGGAATAAAGTTACATGGATCACCTAATACTAACTTATCGAGGCTTACTTATAATATAATCACGCCTCCTTCTCAGACATCGAGAAATGTCCTCTGAATGTTTTCTCTGTGGTCAAGAAGTAAATCGTCTTTACGATCACCTATTTGGACGCCATGATTACACGAAGGAGCAATTGGAGAAGCTCAAAAGGACCAAAGCGGAAATGAGAAAACGAGGAAATGCCGATGAGAATAGTAATATATATAGCTGTGAAAACTGTGAGAAGGATTACTCCAAAAGAGATTCATTTCTGAAACATCAACGGCGCTGTATACAGCAAGGGACCAATGAGCCAGGTGACAAGATGCTGTGTTATACATTAGTCCTCAAAACGGTAAACTTTCTGCACTCTGCAGAGCGTGGGAGCGTCGAGTGTCCAGAATGCGGTCACATTGTGCGCAACCTCAAGGAACTCGCTATGCATTGTTCGTCAAAACACTGCAAAGGCACTGAGGCATTTAATGTCAGCAGAGCAACGTTCAAGGACGACATCGATTTTGAGGTAGGGTAGAGCCCGTCCAGAGAAATAACCGAAAAAGTGGGTTCTGGTTAAGGAATGGCTTAAGTGCGCTCAAGAGACATCTGTCTCCTCGTTTGTCGTTCGTAGCAGGAAAGCCACCGATGACAACACACGCGTGTACTACAGATGTCACAGATCCGGCATTGCACCGTTATTTGCTGCTACTACAAATACAAGCAAGAGAACCGTAAGGCACTGCACCGCGTTTGTTAATGTGAGTGCATCATTGTGTAATGGAGACGCCATCAGAACGGGATATTTCAGGCGAAGTTCACTGCTGCGGCTATCCATATTGAATATTGCCTAACTCACATAGGCCATGAAGCGGACGCCATCGAGGTTGTGGCTAGACAAAACTGATGAAGAACTGATCGTGGAGCTACTGAAGGAAGGATTCAGTTATCTACAAGTTAAACGGAAAATCAGAGAAAAATTCAGAAGTTCACAAGGCAGCAGTGGAAACGAGAAGCGTCTATTCTTCATCACAGTTCGACGTTCGGTTGGGCGTTACATCATCATCAGTTCTCCTCGCTTGATTTCTCCATTGCATATTTCCAGAGCTATCAGCAAGCGCCACAATTTGTTCCCTGGACGGCGCCATGCAAACGATTTGATTTCTTTGGAAAACGTGTTAAGGAGAATAACGCTAGCGACGGTCTGCTTTTTTATGCTCCTAGTCAAGACGATACAAGCGACGGCTTCTGTCTAGGTGGGACGAAGGTTACTCCATGGTCTTCGTGTGCAATAACCATCGTGTTGCAGTTATAATAAACGAATTGCAACGGAAATGGCTCGCAGAATTCTCGCGAAAAGGCATCGGAAACAATGATGCCTTCAACGTGACTATGTACAAGCTCAGACTTGTTCCTATAATTGTAGCCGACCATTGTGATCGCGGTCTCCCAACTGCTTTTTTGCTTAGCTTCAGGTACAAGTCAAAATGTTCGCTCGATAGCTATAGTTCTCTAAAGGTTGCATTGTAGAATGAGCGAGAAAGAACTGGCCATTTTGTTTACCAAAGTAAAGGAAGAGCTCCCTTCATTTGAGCCCCACTTCTTTATGAGCGACGACGCATTCATTTTATAATGCGTTTGAACAAGTCTTCCCTGGCGCAAGTACACGGAAAATTCTATGCAACTGGCATATACTGCAAACTTTCAAGCGTTCAGCGAGGAGAAAATTAACGAAGGTGAGTTTGGAACAGACTTTTATTTAATAATTTTTTTTCCATGAAATCTTTTATAATAGAGATATTGTAGCTCTCACTCCTTGGCGAGTTCATTGACAAGGATTCGGTTCGTGTGCAGGTCCTACAATTCCGAGCTCTTCACAAAAAGATACTCGGATACATTGACGTTTTTATTAAATGAAAGCCAGTACGAGTTAGTCGATTATCTGCATCAAAATTGGTAAGATTACTAGGGGATTACGAGTTCGCTGAAAATCGCTGAGAGTTTTTGACCAACTCTTTCACCTTTAGGACGCACAGAATAGATGAGTGGAGCGCGCAGCACAGAAAAGGAGCAGTCATGAACACATCCATGATGTGTGAACGATGGCATAAACACTTGAAGAGAGAAGTTTTCCGCTCGAAGAGTAAAATACGCATCGATGAGTTGGTCGACTCTCTTATCGAAGTGGTTAAGGAAATGGAGGAAGATTCTGTTGTTATAGTAAGTGCTGAATCCGAAAATAGATTGAAGCGTTTTTGAAAACCATGTCGTTTAGGAGCGCAGAGGGCTCATAGAAGGCCGATATCGTCTCAAAAATCATCTTTTGAGCCACAGCAAAGCGGTTAGCTATTACCACGAATCAAGAGACCTAATCGATGTAGTTCAGCCAGGTGTATGGAAAATTCGTGCTAAGAAATCAGACAAGTTATACATGGTGGAGCAGGAACGTTGTCCGTGTGAAAAGGTAATCAGGAAATGCTTGCAATTGCTGCCTCAAAGTTGTGTGTGTTTAGGTGACCAATCATTGTAATAAGCCAGGTTGCTCTGTTTGCCCATATTCGTTTTTTTGCGAGTGTAATGACGATCGTAGAGCTGGAATCTCCTGTATGCAATATTCACGCAGTTGCCTTGTACGCCCCAGAAGGTAAGGCATGGTGAAGGTCATCGTTTAATGAAGTAATCCATTGCGTGTTAAAGGTCTACTCCCTAGCCGTGAAACCGAGGAATTTCCGGGAGCCTAATGATCGAGATATCTGTGGCGTCAGATGTCGCTCATACGTTGCCTTCAACCAGTTCGACACGACAATCTTGACGATTCTGACCAAAATCGTCTAGATAGAAATAAGGAATTACTCCAACGTATTGAAATGGTAGAGCTATTGAAAATTCTAGTTGCTGAACTTTTTCTCGTTTCGACTTTTTTCTACCGATAAAATTCTTTTCTTACAGGAATATGCTGGCCTACATTTGAAGCTGAGGCGCATCGCAGCTAAACCAACCAGAGAAGCTGAGCAATGTTTGAACGATGCCCTAGCTGCTATGAAGCGGTCGCACACAACCTTGAAAAGCAAGCTTTCTACATTGGCTCCTCCGACAAGGAATGAGCCCATTATCGCAACACGCCCGGAACTTCCCTCGTGCGGACCTGTACCAGCCGATGCACAGCCGATTCGACTAAAAACTGTGAGTGAATTTGACTACCTCAGAGTGTCACTTTGACTGGTGGCTCTAAGCATACTTTTTTTTTCCAGACCTCATCCATCAACAAAGCTAAGCGGAAGCCAAGTCTTGCTGTACCCAAGGAGTTCGCCTCAGAAGATGTTAGAGTGTGCGGATTTTGTTTCCAAGAGAATCCGTTTAATGATGATTGTGATATTGTTTACTGGCTGAAATGTTCCTCCTGTAACACTTGGGGGCACATGGGCAACTGCACTGTAGTGAGTGCTAAATGTACTGTTTGCACTAAGGGAACAATGGAATTCAGTGAGCAATAGATGCACTGTTTGATCACTTAGGATCATATTGAGTGTCGTATTATGTTTCTGTTCATGCGCTTGTTCGCAAAGAATTTTATTGAAGGAGTTATTAATTTGGCATAATAAAGTCTTATGACCAAGCAAAAGTAATGAAAGGTGTAATAAGAAAGAGCAAGAAAAAAAGTGGAAAATTATCTTATTCTGACAAGGGTCCAATACTTGAGAACATCTATATTATATATTAAATTAAGAATTCCACGTAGCTAAGCGGACATCTCTTAAATTTCCTTGCTGTGAAACAGACTCGTTGTGTTTGTTCCCATCAATAGGCTTTTCTGATTTAGTGGGCCCAGTTCATCTAGTACAACCCCAGACGCCTTCACTACTGGAACCTTAAGCATGTAAAAAATTAACGGATCTTTGAAGGCATATCAGTGCGTTGAACGATACATCATGACGGGTATGACATCCCTTTTAGCGCAGGTGCTTTCAAGTGTCAATTTCATCCCAGTTGCGTCAAGATGGCATCAAAAAGTACCAGCAGCAAGATTGAATGTCATATTACTGACCATAATAAAAAGTGTTTACTATACATCAGTTGAAAAAGTGTTTAGTTATACCAGGTGTTGCGCAGAATTCGTGCAAAATTGTACAAAATGGCGCTGAGGCAAGGAATAACCACCACATTCCTTATAAATGTTCCGAACCACTCCTGCAGATGGAATTTCGGAAGATGAAATCTCGAGAACCTGGGGTACAATAGTGGAACATGCTTTATTGTAACAATGTGCACTCTTTTATGCGATCGAGAACTGATTCAAGATATTGAGAAATCAAAAAACCTTGTATCAACCTCTCTGCAAGCAACTTCTGCTTTACGATGAATCACGGGAATCGCCGTCACGAAGTCCCACATCTGGCTTGGCCTTCGTCGATTTTGCCCACGAAACAACAACTCTGTATTTCAAGACACGGGCCAAATTCTCTGCGTCATGTACAAAAATAAGAAATTTATTCGTACCTTTGATCTTTCAGCATCTACTCTCACGCTACGCTCTGCTCTCGGACTCGCTCGTCCCATTCCCGGTGTCATCAATTGGAAAAGAATCGATCAATACCTGTAATGAAAATCAGAATTGTTCGTATCTCAGAGCAGACGGCGTATTTCATTTGACGTACTTCGACATCTTTGGCGGTCCTAGCTATGTGTGCTGCGAACAACTGACAGTTTGTTTCCTCTTCAAGTTCCTTGAAAACAGTACATTTTTAAGTTTATATTAGTAGAAAGTATGGTTAAGCCATGAAATTGTACTCCTCTGACCGGATGCATCTATCAAAATCGCACGGTTAGGGCAGTCGCCTGCCCAGCACTCAATCGCATTTGTCCTGATGAACGACTGGCTTAGTCGTGACAAGCGTCCCTGCAGTGTGTCAACCTATCGACATTCTGAACTAATTCTCGTAAAAATGGGAAAACAAAGGGTGCACGGGAAAACGTCAGGCAACTAATAGAATCAACATGAAATACTTCAAATACTGCGTCAGTACAACTACTGTTGTCTCGCTCAAGGCACAAACAGAATGCTACACCATTTATTATCACTGAGAAGGATAAATACGGCACAGGAAAACGATCAATATTTATATTTCGTTGAGTAGTCCTTCGGCGAAACCACCAAACCACGACCTTTGCGAGCGCCTCTGTAAAAACAGCATAAAAATCTTCAAAAAACCAGAATTTTCTGTGTTTCAGAAGAAAATGTGAGAAAAAGCTCACCTGTACACTGTTTCAATAATATCGATGAGCTCTTGCCCATCGGTGATAGGCCAGTTGATTTTGTTATTGTTACCAGTACCTGCAAATAGAAATCCACCATAGATTATAGGAAAGGAGGGAAGTTCTGATCGAGTAATTGAAGCAGAATTTAAAATTCCTCTTGCAGGTGCGCTAATGGAAAACGCGGAAGTACTCAAGCCAGAACGATACGGATGATCGACTGATAAGCAAAATTGGGCAAAGATATGTCAAGAAACTCGAGTAAAACTCACCCAAATCGACCATAATATGCTTGTTTCTGAAGAAGAACATCACAGTACAAGGATCGTACAACTCATACATCTTGTTGAAATCAGGGACCTAAAGGGCAAGGTCAAGGTTATGCAAAAAAAATAGAAGGGCTCTGAATTGACCCACAGAAGCTACTAAAGCGTATTGCACTGTTGAAATCCCAAGTGAACGCAAAGTAACCCCAAATTATGTAGCTCAATGATATATTTTCGCTGGAGCTTTGCTTAATGAGGTTATTCACTGCCATGATTACGATTCTGAAACTCATTTTAGAAATGCCATTTCGGGTTATTTAGTTCCAGTCGGACGCGACGCTCAGGTCGTTTAAGAACCAGCTGACATCCACTAATAAGACGCTAAGTGAAGGCAAATTATCGCGAACTGCTTTCGCGTGATAAACGATGTAATATTCGTGATCAGTACGCCGAATAACCTGTATGGGCAAAGTTTCAGCGAAAATTTTGATGCTCCTTTTTGGGGCTCCAATAGTGCAAGTGCCGCTCCTGAAATAGAAAACTATCACCTTCGTGATGTCGACAAGAGACATACGAGTTATAGTTCTTCACTTTTGGGAGCTCTTGAGAGAGGTCTGCACAAAACACTATTATAGCACTGTCAGCAGAATGGACATGGAAAGGAAAAGATGTGGATGTCTGTGCCACGGATGGTGAAACCTGGATAGAACAGCTTCCGTTCCGAGTTCCAAAAACAGAGATCTTATTGAGATCAAAAATTCACTAAGAAATCTTCTAGATGTTCATCTCTGTAGAAAAAACCTAATCCACATCACTCACCTCATCCATCCGCATGCATGTGGGATCCCAATCGTGACCAAAACGCACGACGACGACACGGTCCTCTTCGGCAAGGATGGCTTGATCTACCTTAAAAATGTCAAGGGTGACTACAGGAAGCAAAACAAGAAATATGTTACCATAGTTTAGTTTTACTTGACAGTCAAGACCCGTACAACCAAATCAGCTTAAATATATCGAATATATGTTTAAGCATTTGAGTTTGAGCAACATGAAGCACGGATAAGCAATTGAATGCGTTATGTAAAGATATAGAATTGTAAAGAGACGGAAAATTTGACATACATGAGATCTCCTGATATGATTCCTAACAGACCGTCACGGTTGACCATAACGCTTAGCAATAGCGTCATAAAATACAGACCGTGAGAAAATCTCGGGAAAGAATTAAGATAACACTTCATACCTGCCATCCATTCTCCAAATGTGGTAACATGTACGACATGGTTGCAGCTTTTTTGAATAGAACGTTCTACCTGAATGGATCCACAATAGGCAAGACCAATAAAGTAATTAATCACACTGCACCAGAAAAGAGGTAGCAGTAAGCTCGTGTCAGCAACAAAAAAAACAACAAAATGAAGGGAAGTTATTACGGAAACGCGCATTGAACAGCTGCTTCGATCGATGTTACGTATTTATCCCACCCTGCGCCCGTGCGATTGCGTACAGCAGGCGATTACAGTACTCTCACGGCTAGTTCCGCTATCGTTGGCACCCTGTTTTCGATTGAATAACTACGGGTAGAACTTGTGATGAGAGGAAATAATAAGACTAGATGACTTATATCTAGTCTAGCAGTTTTTTGCATATATCTTCGAGATGTCAGCAGTGAATATTTGTGGTAGTGGATATAAAAAATTCCTATCTCCTATCAGCAAAAGTGGAAGCGAACACTGAACATAACATTTAATGCAAAATGATTGGAATCGTGGAGAACAGTTTTCCCATTTATAGCGCAATAGTTAAGCTTTTGCTCACAGCTTACGTAAAGAACTGCTATTATCTTCCAACGCAGAAGCTGTAAAATCCCACACAAGGTTGGCGAATAAAAGCGCCAAGTCATCATGCTCCTCCCCACCCCTGCTGGTCCCCCTAGTACTAGGCTGTGAGTCTAGGGGGATGTGTAAGCAGTTTTCATTACCCTCAAAGTTCACCCTCTTCTCCAAGGCTCAGTCAGCGTGGCATGCCCCTTTTGAGTACACTAGCGCCTCAAGAAATTGATTCGCAACAGTAACGCAAACGCTCCTGTAAGCGGATTATCTCCAATGGAACTGAATTACATTTTACGGCATCTCTTTACAGAAAGAATGAACATATCCCGTGGCCTATCATCTACAAGTATGCGCTCTCACTTTCAGCACAAGTCATCCTCACAAGGATACCTCCGTATCAGATTTCTATGTCTATGGAAATATCTACAAGTTGCGAATAAATCAACTACCAACTCGAAAACAAAAAATCAACTAACAACTCGAAAACAAGGTGGCCGTGAGACGCAACTACTAAGCAGTTCATGATGAAAACTACCTCACGAATTAGAACTCTCTCTTCCCTCAGGTGCCAAGTAAACTTCGTCCCCTCGAGTCCCTCACTGCACTGGTACAATGCATAATGGCATCAATGATTGTTCTAGTGCGGAACATTATAAATACGCTAGCACATTACCCTATTTTGCATGTTAAGAAGTAAATGACATGAGGAATTAGAGTGGTTTCCAGGCGCGCAATGGTTTTCCAACGATATGTAGAGCATCTCTCGGTACCCGTCACCTATCTGAAAGGAGAAATGCATGGCTCGACTCAGTACAATATTCGGAGCTGTGCTAGTTATGAATTGATTAGTCTTCCCATTTCCTTTCATCACGAGCCCCGCCTGTGATCATCAGTTACAAATGTCAACGCCAGTAGAACTAGGCGTGGGTGTACTGTAATCGCTTGCGGTACGCAATTGCACCGGCGCAGGGTGGGATATATACGTAACATCGTTCGATCAATTGCGAGCTGTTTTCCTGACGTCAATAGAAATGTAGTCTGTGTGTAACTACGGAAAACTTTCAAAGCACGCGCAATTTTGGCCGTAGTTTTCTTATTGAGTGTGGACCTTTGTTAGTAACATTTTACTAACAAAATGTTTATGTTTCCAGAGTTGATTCTCTGGATAAACTCCGCGAGCGTCTGCAAGAGCTCGATGCAGAGTTATCAGAACCGGCGGCTTTTCGGGAACTTTACTCGTTCACTTTCCTCTATGGGAAGTTGAGCAGTCAACGCAATCTTGATTTGGAAACGGCGCTAGCGTACTGGAAAATCCTATTCGCTGACAAGGTTAGTAATAAATCATCACCAATTTTTTCGCTACGGAAATGAATAGTTTCAAAGTAGATAGGTTACGGTATACTTTTACCAAATCCATTGCAGTTCCCACTCTTATCGCTCTGGGAAGAGTTTCTACTTGCTGAGCACGGAAAAGCAATTTCACGTGATACATGGAATCTTTTGCTCGACTTTTGCCTTACAATTAGACCGGATCTAACTAATTACGACGAAGATGGGGCCTGGCCAGTGCTGATAGATCAGTTCGTCGAGTACGCACGTGAAAAGCTTGGCCTACCTCGTGAAGCGGCAGCCGCGACTGCAGTCACTTCATAGGAAATATTCGGCATACACCTCAAAGGAACGGGGTTTCTCTATGAATTAATCTCTTTGTTTTAAGTGTTATATCCGTTTAGGTTGGCCGATTCGTGGTAGGCTTTTGGGTGATGTTTTGTATTGCCAGTTCAATTTGATATGCGCTCAGTTTATGCTTCTAGTATTTGTTGCGTCGACACTAGTTAGTTGCTTCGACTCGACTTGTCCCAATTTCGACTCTTAACGTTTTCTGTCGATATGTCCCCTCTATTCATCATGGGCTAAACGGGTCCAAGCTTAATCCCGGTACGTATATTTTGATTTTGATGAAGAACACCATCAAACATGTTCTGTGAATTGCTTCTCGAACAGCGGCAGCACTGAATAGTTTGTGTTGTGATGATTTTAGATTTTTATCCCCTTCCGTTGAAACGCTGCTTTTAGCGACCTGCATGTGCACTCGATGTAGAGCTTCCTCTACTACCTTTCTCGTCAATGATTTTGTATTTTGATCGAATATCTTCTGGAGTTAATGAAGAGTAACGTGGTCTGTATATTGTTGTTTTCTCCACAAAGGTCATCGCTCCTTCTGAAGTGGGAGATTGGAAATATTCAATCCAAATTGAACCTGACAGAACTAGGTAGATTAGTCGGGTGAACGAATTCTTTGGTCGTTTAAAACAGATTCCTGACCCACCCCAATACTTTTGGCTCAAAATCGTGCAGTACAATTCAGGATGACGTACTAGTTTTATTTATGAAATGAAAAAAAGTCAAATAATTACAAAAATTATGAAAAAAATGAGGGTGATTTATACAGCAGTGCCTTCTACAGATTCGGTAGGAAGGAAATACCCATAGCTCAGCGGTGACCTTTCAGCATGATGGCCTCGACATAATCTGAACCCGCGCCACATCCGCAAGTCGTCGTTGAATTCGCTGAACAAGATCTTCCCCATCAGCGACAATGCATTCCAGTTCACGAGCCACCTGCAACAAGAAAATTACAACATTACTCATCGAATGTGGGGGGGGGGGGTAAACAAAATATCGGTCATATTGGTCCTTAGGTCAATTCTTTAAGAATGTCAGACTCGCAATTTCCGCGATTCACACTAGCGATTTGTCAAAATGCGCAATTCTCGGAGTTCCCAAAATCTTAGTTTAGGGTAGAGTAGGGTACAGAGTAAAAGAAGTCGAGGTCAGAGAGAAAGTTCTCCAAGAGTTTTTAGGTGGCCAGCTTAGGTTCGGTCGTGGGCCACTTCCGCTTTGATGAATCGCGCGAATCGCCAAAATATTGGACCGAATGGAATGCTTCGTTTGCTCAACGACCTTCACTTGGATGCCACTGATCGTCGCGTTCTTATTCTCGCTTGTAAACTCAAGGTATTCGAAATATTTTTGTGTTTACTAGATTGTTGATCACATTTTTTGTGGATTGTTTGTTGTGGCTTCTCGTAGTAGAGGAATTGGAGATGCATATAATAGTAGGCATGCGGAAATATGGGAAGTCCTTTACCAGTGAATTCAAAACGGTTTGTCAATTGTATCGAAGATTCGAGTGTGCAGCCGAGAGCAAGATGTTATAATCACTGCAATATTCTCACGTTGTGGCCTTATCATTAATAGAGCTCCCTTCAGAAATGAAACCTCCTATGTTATTGCCGCTTCTGTGCGGTCACCTCTCCTCTATCCCCAGAACATGACCGCATCCATGAATTCTAACGTTATTCTCGAACATTTGCCCTCGCGCCTTTTTGGGACCGCCTGCTGCTCACTTGGCTCCAGATGTGGGTGGTATATGACCACTAGTGCAAGCTGTTTGCGGCACCTGCGTAAAGACCCCTCATAGTTCGCGAAATTCGGAGATTTGGATAGTAGGCGACAATGAAAAAACATGAATTGATTGATAGACGAGTATTGTAGTAGAGCAGGATACTCCGCTGAAATGATCAGAACGTATTGGAACCGCTGGAGAGTTTGCAGCTTAGGCATCTTCAGGCGAATCGATCAATACGTATCTAATCATTACAGCGCACTATAATTATCTACTGCTACCCTAACCTCCTACTCTGCTACTGTCCTACTATCGTAATATCGCAATCTACTGATCCCGGATTTCAATCGATCCGCATCTTATCCTTTTTGGGGACTATTCTACTCATCTACTCTCGCATTGTCTTAATCTCGCTGTTAATACATATCTTTTCATTGTCGCGCACTATCCTAATCTCTGGAAACTTTCGAGGAATGCGGATATTTGCTAGAGACTAATGTGGATGCATGTTTTAACACCCACAGCCTGTGTGTAAAGTTCTCGAGGCTAATTTGACTTGGACCAATTTGTTGCTTGGCCCCTAGGAATACCTGCAGGTGAAGAATCTACTGAAAATAAGTTAGCGGAGAACACTATGTATTAAATCGAATTTTGTATTTATTGTATTTAATTTGTAATTCGTAATTGTATTTATTACGATCAACGAGTCATGATTCTG